CAACCTCCTAAAGACATGGTGGGAGAGATGATGGGCTATCAGCTGCAGTACAGACGCCAAGAAGACACGGTAGATATTTCACCATCCTGTACTCATGAAGCATCTCCGAGTGCTGAACTAGGATCAGTTTAGCCTCATAATGAATATGATAACGTGGATAAGGGATAAGGGGGGGGACCTGATCCTGGATCAGAACACCTACGCTGAGACGGGCCCAGGACCACTTTGGAAATAAGTGTTTAAAAGGGGGAAGTTCCAGATTTGAACTTGATGTTATGGTTCCAACTTCCTTCCCCTTTAATTACTGCTTTCAGTACTATTCTCTGAGATCAAATGCACACGATATTGATATATGTATTATTTATTACCCCAAAATAAAATACACTTTAATTGAATCCAGGCGTACACCTCGAGGGAGTTCAAACGTACGGACGACCACCACACCGTCACCAATCTGCACAAGGGTGCCACCTACGTGTTCCGGCTGAGTGCACTTAACCGGGCCGGTATCGGAGAGGCCTATGTCAAGGAGATCAGCACGCAGGAAGACGTGCCCAGCGGGTACCCCTTAAACATCCGTGTGACAGGGTGCGTACCTGTGTCTGTGTGTGTGTGTGTGTGTCTGTGTCTGTGTCTGTGTGTGTGTGTGTCGGTGTCTGTGTCTGTTTGTGTCTGTGTCTGTTTGTGTCTGTGTCTTTCATTAGGGTCAGCCTGGCTGTGTATAGGATAAGGTACTGCTCTGTTTCAGTCATTGTGGTCAGCCTGGCTGTGTATAGGATAAGGTACTGCTCTGTTTCAGTCATTATGGTCCCGGCTGGTATAGGATCGGTACTCGCTCTGTTTCAGTCATGATGTCAGCTGGCTGGGTATGGAGGCAGGTACTCGCTCTGGTTCCAGTCATTATGGTTCAGCCTGGCTGGGTTATAGGATAAGGTTACTGCCTCGGTCAGTCATTATGGTCACCTAGCTTGAAGGAGAGGTCTGCTCTGTTTCAGTCTTTTTTGGTCGGCTCGGTATAGGAAAAGGACGCCTGTTTCGGTCTTTATGGTCACCTCTGTGTATGGGAGAAGTCTGCTCTTTTTTCATCTTATGTCCCTGGTTTGTGTAGGAAAGGTCTGCTCTGTTTCTCTTATGGTCACCTGGCTGTGTAAGAAAGGTACTGCCTGTTTCAGCCCCTTTGGGTCCCGGGCGTGTGGAGAAAAGGTACGCTCTGTTTTCATCTTGGGTCACCCGGCTTGTATGGAAAAGGTACTGCTCTTTTTCAGTCTTTTGGGTCGGCTACGTGTATGGAGAAGTCTGCTCTTTTTCAGTCATTTTGGACCTACGGGGAAGGAGAGGTCTGCTCTTTCAGTCTTTAAAAGGGGTCAGCCTAGCGGGGTATTGAGAAGGTACTGCTCTTTTTCATCATTTTTTGGGTCAGCCTAGCTGGTATAGAAAGGTACTGCTCTGTTTCAGTCATTATGGTCGGCTACGGAAAGGAAAGGTATTTGCCTTTTTTCAGTCTTATGGTCACCACGGGTAAGGAAAGGTACTGCTCGTTTCAGATTTTAGGGTCAGCCTATTTGTTATAGGAGAAGAAACTGCTCTTTTTCATTCATTATGGTCCCTAGCTGTGTTGGGAGGGTCTGCTCTTTTTAAAGTCATTATGGCCCTAGCTTTTGGGAGAAGGTACTCTCTTTTTTCGTCATTATGGTCACCTAGCTTGAAATGGGAGAAGGTACTGCTTTTTTCAGTCATTAGGGTCAGCCTGGCTGTGTATAGAGAACGTGTCTCTGTTTCATCATTATGGTCACCTAGCGTGTATGGGAAAGGGTACTGCCTGTTTCATCATTATGGTCAGTCTAGTGTGTATAGGAGAGGTACTCTCTGTTTCAGTCTTTTGGTCACCTGGCTGTGAAAGGGAGAACGGGTGCTCTGTTTCAGCCCATTGGGGTCTCCTAGCTTTTAAAGGGAGAAGGTATTTCCGTTTCCCATCTATGGTCGGGCTAGCGTGTATAGGAAAGGTATTTCCGTTTCAGTCATTATGGTCACCAGCTGTGTATAGGAAGGTACTCTCTTTTTTCAGTCTTTGGGTCACCGGGTTTGGGGATAGAGAAGGACTGTTCTGTTTCAGTCTTTTATGGTCGCCTAGCTGGTATGGGGAAAAGGTACTGCTCTGTTTAAGTCTTTTGGGTCACCTGGCTGGTATAGGAAAGGACTGCCTTTCGTCTTATGGTCACCGGGCTGTTTTGGGGAAAAGGGGTACGCTCTTTTTTCGTATTATGGTCAGCCGCGGGTATGGAGAAGGGTACTGCCTTTTTCGTCATTAGGGGCAGCCGGCTGTTATGGAGAAGGTACTGCCTGTTTCATCTTAGGGCAGCCGGCTGTATAGAGAAGGTACTGCTCTTTTCCTTAGGGGTCAGCCGGGGGTGTTAGGAAAGGTACTTGCTCTTTTTTGTCATTAGGTCACCTGGCGTTGGGGAGAGGTACTGCTCTGTTTCAGTCTTAGGCACCTCTGGGTATAGGAAAAGGGGTACGCTCTGTTTCATAAAGGCCAGCCTCTTTTATAGGAAGGGTTGCTCTTTTTAAAAGTCTTAGTAAGCCTGGCTGTGTAGGGGAAAAGGGTACGCTCTTTTTTCAGTCATTTGGTAGCCGGGCTGTGTGGAGGAAAAGGCGCCGGTTTCAGTCATTGGGGCCGCCACGTATGGAAAAGGTTGCTTTTTTCAGTCTTTTGGGTCAGCCTACTTTATAGGAGAAGGTACTGCTCTTTCAGTCTTAGGGGGCCTATTTTGGTAAGGAGGGGTACGCTTTTTTCGGGATTATGGTCACCGGGCTGGTAAGGAAAGGTATGCTCTTTTTCAGTCATTTGGTCGCCTAGCTGGGTATGGGAGAATTTACTGCTCTGTTTCGCATTTTGGTCGCCTAGCTGGGATAGGAAAGGGATGCTCTGTTTCAGGCTTTTGGTCGCCTGCTGTTTTGGATAAGGTCTGCTCTGTTCAGTATTAGGTCACCTAGCGGGTATAGGAAAAGGGTATGCCTGTTTCATCATTATGGTCAGCCTAGCGGTATAGGAAAGGTCCTGCTCTGTTTCAGTCATTATGTCACCCTAGCTGTGTATAGAAAAGGTACTGCCTTTTCAGTCTTTATGGTCACCGGGCTGTGTATGGGAAAAGGTCCCGCCTTTTTCAGTCTTTTGGGTCCCGGCTGTGGGAGAAAGTCTGCTCTGTTTCTCTTATGGTCCCTGGCGGGGAATAGGAAAGTTGCTCTTTTTCATCTTAGGGTCAGCCTACGTGTATAGGAAAGGTACGCTCGTTTCAGTCATTATGTCAGGCACTGTGAAAAGGAAAGGTACTGCTCTGTTCACTTAGGTCACCTGGCGTGTATGGGAAACGTAGTGCTCTGTTTCAGTCATTATGGTCAGCCTAGCTGTGTATAGGAGAAGGTACTGCTCTGTTTCAGTCATTATGGTCAGGCTAGCTGTGTATAGGAGAAGGTACTGCTCTGTTTCAGTCTTTATGGCAGCCTACTGTTTAAGGAGAAGGTACTGCCTTTTAGTCATTAGTCACCTGCTGTGAAAAGGAGAAGGTCTGTCTGTTTCAGTCTTTTTGTCACCCTAGCGGGAAAAGGAAAGGTCTGCTCCTGTTCGTCATTATGGTCAGCCTGGCTGGTATAGGGAAGGTACTGCTCTGTTTCAGCATTAGGGTCAGCCTGCTTTTGGGGGAAGAAGGTCTGCTCTGTTTCAGTCATTATGGTCACCTGGCGTGATGGGAAAAGGGTCTGCCTGTTTCTCTTATGGTCACCGGGGGCTGGGGGGAAAGGACTGCTCGGTTTCAGTCTTTAGGTCCCGGCTGTGTATAGAAAGGGTACTGCTCTGTTTCAGTCTTTATGGTCGCCTGGCTGTGGGGGGGGAAAGGGTACTGCTCTTTTCAGTCTTTGGTCCCCTGGCTGTTTTAAAGGAGAAGGTACTGCTCTTTTTCAGTCTTATGGTCGCTAGCCTGGTATGGGAAAGGTACTGCTCTGTTTCAGTATATGGTCGCCTGCGGGGTATGGGAGAAGGTCCTCTGTTTCATCTTAGGGTTCGCCTACGGGGTATAGGGAAAGGTCTGCTTTTTTTCAGTCATTTGGTCAGCCTACTGTGTATAGGAAAGGTCTGCTCTTTTTTCAGTCTTTTGGTCAGGCTAGCTGGGTTAGAAAAGGTACTGCCTGTTTCATCTTATGGTACCTCGGGGTATAGGAAAGGTACTGCTCTTTTTCATCTTTAGGGTCAGCCTAGCTGTTATGGGAAAGGTACTGCCTGTTTCAGTCATTATGGCCCGCCATTTTTATAGGAAAGGTTCTCTGTTTCTCCATTTGGTCACCTAGCTTTATAGGAAATTTACTGCTCTGTTTCAGTCATTGGTCGCCTACTGTGTATGGAGAAGGTATGCTCGTTTCAGTAAATTTGGTCACCCTGGCTTTTATGGGAAAACTAGTCTCTGTTTCGTCATTATGGCAGCCTAGCTGTGTTGGAAAGGTACTGCTTTTTTTTTCAGTCATTATGGTCAGGCAGCTGTGTAAGGGAAGGTACGCCTGTTTCGTCATTATGGCACCTGCTGTTATGGAGAACGTGTCTCTGTTTCTCTTTATGGTCGCCTACTGTGTATAGGAGAAGTACTGCCTGTTTCAGTCATTATGGCAGGCTGCTGTGTTAAGGAGAAGGTCTGCTCTTTTTTCAGTCAATGTCACCTAGCTTGTATAGAGAAGGTACGTCTGTTTTCAGTCATTATGGTCAGCCGGGCTGTGGAGAAGGTACTTTCGTTTCAGTCTTTTATGGCAGCCTACGGGGTATGGAAAAGGTACTGCTCGTTTCAGTCTTTATGGTCACCTGGCTTTTAAAGGGGAAAGGTTGCTCGTTTCATCATTATGGTCACCCTGGCGTTATAGGAAAGGACGCTCTGTTCGTCATTTGGTCCCAGCGGTTTTATAGGAAAAGGTACTGCTCTGTTTCAGTCATTATGGTCAGCCTGGCTGTGTATAAAAAGGGGACTGCTCTGTTTCGTCTTAGGTCAGCCGGCTGGTATGGGAAAGGTACTCTCTTTTTCAGCTTTATGGTCACCTGCTGTTAGGAGAAGGTACTGCTCTTTTTCATCTTATGGCAGCCTGCTGTTGGGGGGGAAGGTACTGCTCTGTTCATCTTTATGGTCAGCCTAGCGTGTAAGAGAAGTCTGCTCTGTTTCAGTCATTGGGGTCGCCTACGTGAAGGGAGAAGGTCTGCTCTGTTTCATCATTTGGTAGCCGGGCGGTTGGGAAAAGGGTCGCTCTTTTTTCATCATTATGGGAGCCGGCTGTGTGGGGGAAAAGGGTCTGCCTGTTCATCATTATGGTCACCTAGCTGTAGGGAGGAGAAGGTCTGCCTTTTTCACATTGGGGTCACCCTGTGTATAGGAGGTACTGCTCTGTTTCAGTCATTTTAGGGTCGGCTTCTGTGTATGGAAAGGGTATGCCTTTCATCATTATGGTCAGCCGGCGTTATGGGGAGAAGGTCTGCCTGTTTTCAGTCATTTTTGTCCCCTAGGGGGATAGGAAAAGGTAGGGGCTCTGTTTCAGTCATAGGGTCGCCTACGGGGTAAGGAAAGGTACTGCCTTTTTCAGTCATTATGGTCACCTAGCTGTGTATGGAAAAGGGTAGGCTCTGTTTTCAGTCTTATGGTCCCTGCGGGGTATAGGGAAAGGTACTGCTCTGTTTAGTTTTTTGGGTCAGCCTACTGTGTTAGGAAAGGGTACTGCTCTTTTTTCAGATTATGGTCAGCCTAGCTGTTAGGAGAAGGTACTGCTCTTTTTCAGTCATTAGGGTCCCGGGCTGTGTTAGGAGGGGGGCGCTGTTTCATCATTATGGTCAGCCGGGCTGTGTGGAGGAAAAGGGTACTGCTCTTTTTCGCTTATGGCCCCCTGGCTGTGTATAGGAGAACAGTGCTCTGTTTCAGCTTATGTCAGCCTGCGTGATGGAAAGGGTACGCTCTGTTTCAGTCATTAGGGTCAGGCTGCTTGTGGGGAAAGGCTCCTTTTTCCCGTCATTATGGCCCCTGGTTTTTAAAGGAGAACTAGTGTCGGTTTCAGTCTTTAGGGTCACCCAGCGTGTATGGAAATTTACTGCTCTTTTTTCATTAGGTGGGGCGGCTGTGTATAGGGGGGAAGGGGGGTACTGCCTTTTCGTCATTATGGTCAGCCTAGCTGTGAAAGGGGAAAGTACGCTCTGTTTCATCATTAGGTCGCCTGGCTGTTTTGGGAAAGGTCTGCCGTTTCATCATTATGGTCAGCCGCTGGTATGGGAAAAAGGTACGCCGTTTCGTCTTTAGGTCACCGGCGTGTAAAAAGGTATTGCTCTGTTTCAGTCATTATGGTCAGCCTGGCTGTAGGGGAGAAGGTCTCCCTTTTTTTCAGTCATTAGGGTCACCCACTGGTATATAAAAGGATTTCTCTTTTTCATCATTATGGTCGCCTCTTGTTAGGAAAGGTACGCTCGTTTCATCTTTATGGCAGCCACTTGTAAAAAAAAAGGTCTGCCTTTTCAGTCTTTTGGGTCACCCGGCTGTGTATAGGAGAAGGGTCTGCTCTTTTTTCAGTCATTAGGTCACCTGGCTTGGGGAGGAGAAGGTATTTCCTGTTTCGTCTTATGGTCGCCTGGTTTTGTAAAGAACTAGTCTCTGTTTCAGTCTTTAGGTCAGCCTGCGTGAAGGAAAGGTACTGCTCTTTTTCGTCATTATGTCAGGCTGGTTTAAAAGGGGGGGACTGCTCTTTTCGCATTAGGGTCAGCCGGCTTGTAAAAAAAGGGACTGTTCTTTTCAGTCATTTGGTCAGCCTGGGTGTTGGGAAAGGGTTGGCTTTTTTTTTCGTCTTATGGTCGGGGCTGCTGTGAAAGGAGAAGGTCCTGCTCTGTTTCATCATTATGGTCAGCCTAGTTTGGTATAGGAAAGGGGTACTGCCTTTTTCCCAGTCTTATGGTCGCCGGCGTTATGGAGAAGGTATTTGCTCTTTTCACATTGGCCCTACTTTTATAGGGGGTACTGCTCTGTTTCATCATTAGGGTCACCCTGTGTTAGGAAAGGTACGCTCTGTTTCGTCTTTAGGGTCCCGGCTGTGTAGGAGACGTTGTCTTTTTCCTTCATTTGGTCAGCCGGGCGTGTTAGGAGAAGGTACTGCTCTGTTTCGTCATTAGGGTCACCTACTGTGAATGGGAAAGTACTGCTCTGTTTTCAGTCTTTATGGTCAGCCGGGCTTGTATAGAAAACTATGCCTTTTTTCATCTTAGGGTCACCTTGTGTATAGGAAAAGGTACTGCCTGTTTCTCATTTGGCACCGGGGGCTGTTATAGGAGAAGGACGCTCTGTTTCAGTCTTAGGTCACCGGGCGTGTATAAAGTACTGCTCTTTTTCCCCGTATTTGGTCACCTAGCTTGTATGGAGAAGGTACTGCTCGTTTCTTTCATTATGGTCCCTGGCTGTGTTAGGAAAGGGTCTGCTCTTTTCGTCATTATTCAGCCTAGCGTGTATGGGGGAAAAGGTACTCTCTTTTTCAGTCATTATGGTCCCTGCTGTGGGAGGAAGGTCTGCTCTGTTCGTCATTTTTTTTTCCTAAATGTCCTTCTCAACGGCCTTTTTGAAATTTTTGAATTTTTTAGGGAAAATTTGTTTTGTGGATTAAAATAAAAGTATTGTTTTTTGTGTGTGTGTGGTGTGTAGGGGTTTGTGTGGTGTGTGTTGTGTTGTGTGTTGTGTGTGGGTGTGTTGTGGGTGTGTGTGGTGTGTGTGTGTTTGTGGTGTGTGTTTTGTGTTTGGTGAAATCCCAAAACTGTTAAAAGAATCCTCCATGACTTGGATTTTTTATTTCTGGGGCTGTGAAATGAGGGGTGGGTGTAAACCTTTTCACTTTTTTCCCGTCTCCATAAGAGTTCCAGAAGCCAAAAAGGGCAGGGTACCCTACTAACAGAGTTTACATTTTAGGTTGACCCCGTCTACCACCCAGCGGGCGGGGGATCCCCCACGCTGTCGGGGGACGGAAGATACTGCTATGTTGGGGCGTACGGGAACATCAACACCCCCCAAAAGCCCCAAACATTTTTACTCACCACCCCTGATTGATCCATTGTTTGATTGTTTGATTGTTTGATTGAATGTATTAGTACATATATCAATTTTAAAAAGCACCGGGGTGCTCCACCAGAACATTACTTTTAAAAATTATGGAGGATTAAAACCCAATAACGCCCGAAGGCTTATATCTATTGTGGTCCCCCTGTACTGTCCCCCTGTATGCCCCCCTTTTTTCCCCCTGTATTTCCCCCTGTACTGTCCCCCTGTCGTCCCCCTGACGGGCCCCCGTACTGGCCCCCTTATTTTCCCCCTTCTTTCCCCCCCTGTACGCCCCCCTTTTACTTCCCCCTGACTGGCCCCCTTACTGGCCCCCTGACGGGGCCCCCTGTACTGCCCCCCCTTACTGCCCCCCCTTACTGTCCCCCTTTCGGGGCCCCCTGTATTTGGCCCCCTGACTGTCCCCCTGTCGTCCCCCTGTACTGCCCCCGTCTGTCCCCCGTACGGCCCCCTGTCGCCCCCTGTACTGTCCCCCTGACGGGCCCCCCCGTACGTCCCCCCTGTACTGTCCCCCTGTACTGTCCCCCTGTACTGTCTGCCCCCGTACTGTCCCCCCGACGGTCCCCCTGACTGCCCCCTGTACTGGCCCCCTGTACTGTCCCCCTGTTGGCCCCCTGCGGGCCCCCTGTACTGCCCCCCCTGTACTGTCCCCCTGTCTGTCCCCCCCCTGTACGTCCCCCTGAAATTTCCCCCTGACTCCATAGCTCTGTGTGTTATTGGTTCTGCTTGAAGGGTTCTATCTTTTAATCCCCCATCATTGCCAAAAGCCAATTTTTGAAAAGGCTAATTTTTTTTTAACGCTTCTTATCAAACAGACTTTGGATACCAAAATACCACCGGGCCTAAAACCCTGAAAAACCCCCTTTTGCTCAGAGTCCAGCTTTTTCCCAGAAAAGGGGGGGACCCATCGTCCTCATACAGACAGACCAGCCACATCACCGGTGACCACACCCTCAAACTCCAAAAATCACACTGACGCACACACCCAGTAAGTGAGACCATACCTCTCTCCTCTCCTCTCTACCCCACAGTACCTCTCCCCTCTCCTCTCCCCCACATCCCCTCCTCCCTCCTCTCACCCACAGTCCCCCTCCCCTCCCTCTCTACCCAACATACCTCTCCCTTCCTCTCTCCCCCACGCCCCCTCCCCTCCTCCCCCCCCTCCCCTCTTCCCCCTACCCCCAGACCCTCTCCCTCCTCTCTACCCCCCCATACCCCCTCCTCTCTACCCCCGTACCCCCCCCCTCCCTCTCCCCCCTCCTCCCCCCTCCCCCCAAGACCCCTCTCCCCCTTCACCCCCCCCCCCCTCTCCCCCCTACCCCACATACCCCCTCCTCTCTACCCCCCGTACCCCCTCCCCTCCTACCCCCATACCCCTCCCCCTCTCACCCCACAGACCCCCCTCCCCTCTCACCCCACCGACCCCCCCCCCTCTCCTCTCTACCCCCACATACCCCTCCCCCTCCTAACCCCCCACAGCCCCCTCCCCTCCCTCCCCCCCAACAGAAACCCCGGGTCTCCTCCCCCCCCCAAGACCCCTCCTCCTACCCCCGCCCCCTCTCCTCCCCCACCCAACAGACCCCCCTCTCCTCTCCCCCCTCTCCCCCCGTACCCCCCCTCCTCCCTCTCTACCCCACATACCCCCCCCCCCCCAAAGGGACCCCCTCCTCTCCCTCCCCCCCGTACCCTCCCCCCTTCTCCCCCCACATAACCCCCCCCCTCAAACCCCACAGTAACCCTCCTCCCTTCCCCAGACCCTCTCCCTCCCCACCCCACAGTCCCTTTCCTCCTCCCTCTCCCCCCCCACGACCCCCCCTCCTCTCCCCACCCCACGACCCTCTCCTCCCCCCCCACCCCCTTCCCCCCCCCCAAACCCCCTCTTCCCCCTTTTAAACCCCACAACCCCTCCCTCCACCCCCAGTACCCCCCCTCCCGCCTCCCCCTCCTCCCCTCCCCCAGCCCCCTCCCCCCTCCCCCCCCTCCCCTCCTCCCTCTCTCCCCCCACATCCCTCTCCCTCCTCTCTACCCCCATACCCTCTCCCTCCCCCTTACCCCACAGTACCCTCCCCCCACCCTCCCTCCCTCTTTTTACCCCACATACCCCTCCCTCCCCCCCCCCCCACATACCTCCTCCCCTACCCCCGTACCCTCTCCCCTAACCCCCCACAGTACCCCCTCCCCTCCTCCCCCCACAAAACCCCTCTCCCTCAACCCCCCAGTACCCTCCCCCCTCTACCCCCAGACCCCCTCCTTCCCTCCCCACAGTACCTCCCCCTCCCCCCCCCTCCCCCCCCCTCCTCCACCCCACAGTCCCCCTCTCCTCTCCCTCTACCCCACATACCCCCCCTCTCCCCTCTCCCCCCAAAAGTACCCCCTCCTCTCCTCCAACCCCACAGACCCCCTCTCCTCCTCCCCCCACAGTACCCTCTCCTCCCCTCCCCCCAACCCTCCCCCCTCCACCCACAGTACCCCTCTCCTCTCCCCCAAAACCCCCAGACCCCTCCCTCCTACCCCACAAAAACCCCCTTCCTCTCCTCCTACCCCCCACTTTCCCCCCCCCTCCTACCCCACAGACCCCTCCCTCCCCTCTCCCCCACATACCCCCCCTCCTCTCTACCCCCCCACAGTCCCCCTCTCCCTCCCCTACCCACAGACCCCCCCCTCTCCTCTCTACCCCACAGTACCCCTCCCCCCTCCACCCCACAAAACCCCCCCCCTCCTCTCTACCCCACAGACCCTCCCCTCCCTCCCCCCTACCCCCATCCCCTCTCCCTCCTCTCACCCCAAGTCCCCCCCCCCTCCCCTACCCACATTTTCCCCCTCCCTCTCCCCTTCCCCACAGTACCCCCCCTCCCCCACCCCAGGACCCCCCCCTCCTCTCTCCCCCCCCCACAGACCCCCCTCCCCCTCCTCCTCCCCCATACCCCTCCCTCCTCTCTACCCCACGTCCCCCTCCCCCCCTCCCCCCCCCCCCCTTTCCCCCCCCACAGCCCCCCCTCTCCCCTCCCCCCACATTACCCCCCCTCTCTCCCCCACATACCCCCCTCCCCCTCTCTACCCCAGTACCCTCCCCTTCCTCCAAAACCCCCCACATACCTCTCCCCTTTCTCCTCTCTACCCCCATACCCCCCCTCCTCTCTACCCCCAGAAACCCCTCTCTCCCCCCCCCCCCTCCTCTCTCCCCCCACATAACCCTCTCCTCCCCTCACCCCCACAGCCCCTCTCTCCTCTCCTCCTCCCCCCACAGTACCCCCCCCCCCTCCACCCCCAATACCCTCTCCCTCTCTCCCCCCAGCCCTTTTCCCCCCCCCCCTCCCCCTCTCTCTTCCCCACATACCCCCTCTCCTCTCCCCCTTCCCCCCCGTACCCCCTCTCCTCCCCCCCCCCAAGAACCCCCCCCCTCTCCTCCTCCCCCCACAGTACCCCCCCCTCTCCCCCCCCACGACCCCCCTCTCCTCCTACCCCACAACCCCCCCCTCCTCTCACCCCACAGTACCCCTCCCTCTACCCCCAGCCCCCCCTCCCCCCCCCCCTCCCTCACCCCACATTCCCTCTCTCCTCCTCCCCCCCCTCCCCCTCCCCCCCACCCCACGTACCTCTCCCCCCCCCCCCCACAGACCCCTCCCCTCTCACCCCCAGACCCCCTCCTCCACCCCACACCCCTCCCCCCTCCTCCCCCACAGTACCCTCTCCTCCCCCTCCCCCCACAGTCCCCTCCCCCCCTCCCTCCCTTTTTCCCCCACAGACCCCTCCCTCCCCCCCCCTCCTCTCTCCCTAACCCCACAGACCCCCCTCCCTCTCCCCCACATACCCCCCCCCTCTTCCCCCTCTCCTCTCTACCCCCACAGTCCCCCTCCCCTCCCCCTTCACCCCCAGTCCTCCTCCTCTCCCTCACCCCACAAAAACCCCCCCTCTCCTCCCCCCCTACCCCCCCCTTTCCCTCTCCCCCCCCCCCTCCCCTCCTACCCCACGTATTTTTCCCCTCTCCTCTCTCCCCCAGAAAACCCTCCCCCTCCCCCAAAAAAACCCCTCCCCCTCTACCCCAGTACCCCCCCTCTCCTCTCACCCACATCCCCCTCTCCCCCCCCGCCCTCTCTCCTCTCCTCCCCCCCACATACCCCCCCTCCCCCTCTCTACCCCCAAAAACCCCCTCTCCCCTCCCCACCGTACCCCCCCCCCCTTCCCCTCTCCCCCCACAGTCCTCCCCCTCCTCTAAAACCCCACTCCCTTCTCCTCTCCTCTCTACCCCCAGTCCTCTCCCTTCCTCCCCACAACCCCCCTCCTACCCCCCTTTCCCCCCCTCCCCCCCCCCCCTCCCCCCCCCCCTACCCCCCTCCCTCTCCCCCCAAACCGTAACCTCCCCTCCCCCCTAACCCCCCACAGAAACCCCCTCTCCTTCCCTCTCCCCCACTACCCTCCCCCTCTCCTCTCTCCCCACATACCTCTCCCCTCTCCTCTTCTCCCCCCCACAGTACCCCTCCCTCCCCCCCCCCAGCCCCCCCCCCTCTACCCCCAGTACCCCTCTCCCCCCCCACCCCACAACCCCCCCTCCCTCTCACCCCCCCACATTTTACCTCTCTCCCTCCTCTCTACCCACAGTACCCCCCTCCCCCCTTCTCCCCCAATACCCCCCCCCTCTCTCCCCCCCACAACCCCCCCTCTCCCTCTACCCCAAAACCCCCCCCCCCCCCGGGTCCCCCTCTCCTCTCTACCCCCAGTCCCCCCCCTCTCCTCTTACCCCACTACCCCCCCCCTCTCCCTCTCCCCCAAACCAAACCCCCCCCCCCTCTCCTCTTCCTTTTTACCCCCATCCCCCCCCCCTCACCCCCCCCCAGTACCCCCCCCTCCCTCTCTACCCCACAGTACCCCTCTCCTCTCTCCCCCTACCCCCCCCTTCCCTCCCCCCAGCCCCCCTCTCCCCCCCTACCCAACCCCCTCCTCCTACCCCACAGTACCCCTCTCCCTCCCCCCCCACAGTACCCCCCCCCTCCTCTCTCCCCCACGCCCCTCTCCTCCCCCACCCCACAGTACCCCTTTTCCTCTCAAACCCCCCACATACCCCCCTCCTCTCCTCCTCCCCCAACCCCTCCCCTCTACCCCACATCCCCCCCTCCCCTCTCTACCCCCCCAACATACCCTCCCTCTCCTCCTACCCACATAACCCCCCCTCCCCCCACCCCACAGTACCCCCCCTCTCCTCTCACCCCACAGACCCTCCCCTCTCCACCCCCAAACCCCCTCTCCCTCCTACCCCACAAAAACCCCCCCCCCCCCCCCCCCCCCACGACCCCCCCCCCACCCCACAGCCCCCTCTCTCCCCCCCTCCTCTCTACCCCCAAAACCCCCCCCCCCCCCACCCCACATACCCCCCCCCCCCCCCCCCCTCCCCTACCCCACAGACCCCCCCCCTCCACCCCACAGCCCCCTCCCTCCCTCCCCCACAGACCCCCCCCCCTTCCCCCCCACAGTACCCCTCTCCCTCCCTCTACCCACAGAAACCCCCCTCCCCCCCCTCCCCCCCCAAACCCCCCCCCTCCCCTACCCACATACCCTCCCCCCTCTCTACCCCCAGACCCTCTCCCCCTCTCTACCCCCCTACCCCCCCCCTCCCCCCTCTCTACCCCCAGACCCCCCTCCCCCCCCTCTCCCCACGTCCCCCCCCTCTCCTCTCTACCCCCCCACAACCCCCTCCCCCCCTCTTTTCCCACGTACCCCCCTCCCCTCAACCCCACGTCCCCCCTCTCCCCCCCTCTCCCCCCTCCCCCCCCCCTCCCCCACATAAACCCTCTCCCTCCCCTCCCCCCACTTACCCCTCCCTCCCCCCCACCCCCCTTTCCCCCCCCCTCCCCCCCCTCCACCACAACCCCCCCCCCTCTCCCCCCACATACCTCCCCCCCCCACCCCACAGTCCCCTCCTCCCTCCCTCCCCCCTCCCCCTCCCTTCACCCCAAAACCCCCCCCCTTTCCCCCCCTCCTCCTCCTCCCCCACCCCCAGACCCTCCCCTCCTCCTACCCCCAGTACCCCTCCTCTCCCCCCCCCCCCCCACAGACCCCCCCCTCTCCTCTCTAACCCCCCCCGTAACCCTCCCCCCTTTTTACCCCCAAATACCCTTCCTCTCCCTCTACCCCACAGACCCTCCCTCTCCCCCTCCCACCCCACATACCCCCCTCCCTCTCCCCCCCCCACGTACCCCCTCTCCTCTCCTCTCTAACCCCCGCCCTTCCTCTCCTCTCTCCCCCACATTAACCCTCTCCCTCTCCTCTCTCCCCACAGACCCTCTCCTCTCCTCCTACCCCACGACCCCTCTCCTCCCCCTTTAACCCCCAGTACCCCCTCCCTCCCTCTCACCCCCTACCCCTTCCCCCCCCTCTCCTCCCCCCCTTACCCCCTCCCCTCTCCCTCTACCCCCGTACCCCCCTCCCCCCCTCCCCCCATCCCCTCCCTCCTCCTCCCCCCATTACCCCTCTCCCTCCTCTCTTCCCCCCCCAAAATTTTTTTTCCCCCCCCCCCCCTCCCTCCCCCCCAACCCCACAGAACCCCCCTCTCTCTCACCCACAGTACCTCCCCCCTCCCTCTCCCCCTCCCCCTCTCCCCCCCCACTCCCTCTCTCCTCTCCCCACCCACTACCCCCTCCCCCCCCTCCCTCTACCCCACCCCCCCCTTCCCCCCCCCCCCTACCCCTTTCCCCCTCTCCCCCCACAACCCCCCTCTCCTCTCTACCCACAGGACCGCTCTCTCCCTCCCCCACAGTACCTCTCTCCTCTCCTCTCTACCCCACAGTACCTCTCTCCTCTCCTCTCTACCCCACAGTACCCTATTGATTGACATAGTGTTATTCTTATTATATGCTACATTCACACTGCACTTCACGCTCCAGTCCTCTCACGCACCTCATTACACATGGGCTGGTTTCCTTTATGCATTTCACCTTATACGTGTTGGATAGATGATTTATTCATCACCAGGTGGCTATTTTAATCCTCAGGATTCTCCTCCCACTGTAGTGTAGTCTACATGTCATGGTAATTGGTGTGAACCCGGTGTGTTGTTGAATATTTAAATAAAATGTAATAAAGAAATGGGCATGCTTTTTAAGAAACGTGTTTAAAGTTATCAGTTACCATGACTGAGGTCCAGATAGTAATAATCTAAACCCTATTTTACCCCCTCAGCGTTTGCCACAAGCTTCGGTGTCAAAGCCGTCATGAAAACATCAGTCCTGCTCACGTGGGAAGTGCCAGAAAACTACAAGTCCCAAGTGCCTTTCAAGGTAAGAGCCTGGCTGTTGTATTTCAGCTCTCACAGTGATGGAAAATGTAACTGCAAATGTTGTTATTTGTCTGTGTGTGTTTGTGTTTGTTTGTTTGTTTTTGTGTGTGTGTGTGTGTGTGTGTGTACGTCTTATGTATGTGTCCGTGCGTGGTAGTTTAGGTATTTTATTAGGATCCCCATTAGCTGTTGCAAAAGCAGCAGCTACTCTTCCTGGGGTCCACACAAAACATGAATCATGACATACTACAGAACATTACTAGCCTACATATCAATACATACACACAAACGATCTAGGTCAAATAGGGGAGAGGCGTTGTGCCGTGAGGTGTTGCTTTATCTGTTTTTAGAAACCAGGTTCGCTGTTTATTTGAGCAATATGAGATGGAACGGATTTTCATGCAATAATGGCTCTATATAATACTGTACGCTTTCTTGAATTTGTCTTGATTTGGGGACTGTGAAAAGACCCCTGGTGGCATGTCCGGTGGAGTAAGTGTGTGTGTCAGAGCTGTGTGTAAGTTGACTATACAAACAATTTGGGATTTTCAACACATTAATGTTTCTTAATAAAAGAAGAAGTCAGTCAGTCTCTCCTCAACTCTTAACCAAGACAGACTGGCATGCATAGTATTTATATCAGCCCTCTGATTACAATGAAGAGCAAGACGTGCCGCTCTGTTCTGGACCAGCTGCACCTTAACTAGGTCTTTCCTTGCAGCACTGGACCACACGACTGGACAATCATCAAGATCAGACAAAACTAGAGCCTGCAGAACTTGCTTTGTGGAGTGTGGTGTCAAAAAAGCAGAGCATCTCTTTATTACGGACAGACCTCTCCCCATCTTTACAACCATTTAATCTATATGTTTTGACCATGACAGTTTACAGTCTAAGGTAACGGCAAGTAATTTAGACTCCTCAACTTGTTCAACAGCCACAACATTCATTACCAGATTCAGCTGAGGTCTAGAACTTAGTGAATGATGCCTGTGGCTCCCTATGTGTCTTCCTAACACTAACCACTATTTGACCCTGTGTGTGTGTGTGTGTGTGTGTGTGTGTGTGTGTGTGTGTGTGTGTGTGTGTGTGTGTGTGTGTGTGTGTGTGTGTGTGTGTGTGTGTGCGTAAACCTATGTGTGTGTTGTGTGTCTTCCTAACACTAATCACTATTTGACCCTGTGTGTGTGTGTGTGTGTGTGTGTGTGTGTGTGTGTGTGTGTGTGTGTGTGTGTGTGTGTGTGTGTGTGTGTGTGTGTGTGTGCGCGTGTGTGCGCGTGTGTGCATGTGTGTGTAACCCTACGTGTGTGTGTTGTGTCTCTCTCTAGATCCTGTATAACCAGCAGAGTGTGGAGGTACAGGGGAACCTGAAGAGGAAGCTGATCACCAGACTACAGCCTGATAGACACTACAGCTTCGTGTTGATGTCCAGAGGGAACACCGCCGGGGGTCTACAGCAGCAGGTCTCCATCAGGACCGCCCCGGACCTCCTGAAGACTAAACCTGTCCTCTACTCAAACCAGCAGAACCAGAAAGGAAAGCTCACCATAGACTTGCCTAAAGTACAGACTACTGGTCAAGTCAGGTTAGTATCATTTAACTAACGACAGTGCAATCGTGAAGTATTCAGACCCCTTCCCTTTTTCCACGTTTTGTTATATTACAGGCATATTCTAAAATGGATTAAATATAATTAATATCCTCATCAAACTACAAAACAATACCCCATAGCAACAAAGCGAAAAAAAATTTTTTTACATAAGTATTCAGACCTTTTGCTATGAAGGTTCGTCTTCTAACAGGACAACGACCCAAAGCACACAGCCAAGACAATGCAGGAGTGGCTTCGGGACAAGTCTCTGAATGTCCTATAGTGGCCTAGCCAGAGCCCGGACTTGAACCCGATCGAACATCTCTGGAGAGACCTAAAAATAGCTGTGCAGCAACGCTCCCCATCCAACCTGACAGAGCTTGAGAGGATCTGCAGAGAAGAATGGGAGAAACTCCCCAAATACAGGTGTGCCAAGCTTGTAGCGACATACCCAAGAAGACTTGAGGCTGTAATCGCTGCGAAAGGTGCTTCAACCAAGATTTGAGTAAAGGGTCTGAATACTTATGTAAAAACCTGTTTTTGCTTTGTCATTATGGGGTATTATGTGTAGATTGATGAGAAGAAAAAAAAGATTGAATCCCATTTTAGAATAAGGCTGTAATGTAACAAAATGTGGAACAAGTCAAGGGGTTTGAATACTTTTCAGAATGCACCGTGTAACTTCAACTAATACTACTATATACCTGCCTAATGTACAGACTACTGCTCAAATCAAATCAAATCAAATGTTATTCGTCACATACGCCGAATACAACAGGTGTAGACCTTACAGTGAAAAGCATACTTACAAGCCCGTAACCAACAATGCAGTTTTAAGAAAGAATACACAAAAAAAATCACTAAAAGATACAATATAAAATAATACTAAAAATAAAAGTAACAAATAATTAAAGAGCAGCAGTAAAAAATAACCATAGCGAAGCTATATACGGGGGGTACCGGTACCGAGTCAATGTGCGGGGGTACAGGTTAGTCGAGGTAATTGGGGTATTTGATCCCCTGCTGATTTTGTACGTTTGCCCACTGACAAAGACATGATCAGTCTATCATTTTAATGGTAGGTTTATTTGAACAGTGAGAGACAGAATAACAACAAAAAAATCCAGAAAAACGCATGTCAAAAATGTTATAAATTGATTTGCATTTTAATGAGGGAAATTAGTATTTGACCCCTCTGCAAAACATGACTTAGTACTTGGTGGCAAAACCCTTGTTGGCAATCACAGAGGTCAGACGTTTCTTGTAGTTGGCCACCAGGTTTGCACACATAACATTTAACATTTAACATTTTAGTCATTTAGCAGACGCTCTTATCCAGAGCGATTTACAGGAGCAATTAGGGTTAAGTGCCTTGCTCAAGGGCACATTGACAGATTTTCACCTAGTCGGCTCGGGGATTAGAACCAGCAACCTTTCGGTTACTGGCACAACGCTCTTAACCACTAAGCTACCTGCCGCCCACATCTCAGGAGGGATTTTGTCCCACTCCTATTTGCAGATCTTCTCCAAGTCATAAGGTTTCGGGGCTGACGTCCCTTTGATGCGGTGGAGTTGTCCTGTCCCCTTAGCAGAAAAACACCCCCAAAGCATAATGTTTCCACCTCCATGTTTGACGGTGGGGATGGTGTTCTTGGGGTCATATGCAGCATTCCTCCTCCTCCAAACACGGGGAGTTGAGTTGATGCCAAAGAGCTAGATTTTGGTCTCATCTGACCACAACACTTTCACCCAGTTCTCCTCTGAATCATTCAGATGTTCATTGGCAAACTTCAGACGGGCATGTATATGTGCTTTCTTGAGCAGGGGGACCTTGCGGGCGCTGCAGGATTTCAGTCCTTCACGGCGTAGTGTGTTACCAATTGTTTTCTTGGTGACTATGGTCCCAGCTGCCTTGAGATCATTGACAAGATCCTCCCGTGTAGTTCTGGGCTGATTCCTCACCGTTCTCATGATCATTGCAACTCCACGAGGTGAGATCTTGCATGGAGCCCCAGGCCAAGGGAGATTGACAGTTCTTTTGTGTTTCTTCCATTTGCGAATAATCGCACCAACTGTTGTCACCTTCTCACCAAGATGCTAGGCGATGGTCTTGTAGCCCATTCCAGCCTTGTGTAGGTCTACAATCTTGTCCCTGACATCCTTGGAGAGCTCTTTGGTCTTGGCCATGGTGGAGCATTTGCAATCTGATTGATTGATTTCTTCTGTGGACAGGTGTCTTTTATACAGGTAACAAACTGAGATTAGGAGCACTCCCTTTAAGAGTGTGCTCCTAATCTCAGCTCGTTACCTGTATAAAAGACACCTGGGAGCCAGAAATCTTTCTGATTGAGAGGGGGTCAAATACTTATTTCCCTCATTAAAATGCAAATTAATTTATAACATTTTTGACATGCGTTTTTCTGGATTTTTTTGTTGTCATTTAGGCAGGTTACCTTAGTGTTCTTGGGCACAGGGACTATGGTGGTCTTCTTGAAACATGTTGATATTACAGACTCAGACCTGGAGAGGTTGAAAATGTCAGTGAAGACACTTGCCAGTTGGTCAGCGCATGCTCGAGTATACAACCTGGTAATCCGTCTGGCCCTGTGGCCTTCTGAACGTTGACCTGTTTAAAGGTCTTACTCACATCGGCGTCGGAGAGTGTGATCACACAGTCGTCCAGAAAAGCTGATGCGCTCCTGCATGTTTCAGTGTTACTTGCCTCGAAGCAAGCATAGAAGTAATTTAGCTCGTCTGGTAGGCTCGTGTCACTGGGCAGCTCGCGGCTGTGCTTCCCTTTGTAGTCTGTAATAGTTTGCAAGCCCTGCCACATCCGACGAGCGTCAGAGCCGGTGAAGGACGATTCGATCTTAGTCCTGTATTGACTCTTTGCCTGTTTGATGGTTTGTCGGAGGGCATAGCAGGATTTCTTATAAGCTTCCGGGTTAGTGTCCCGCTCCTTGAAAGCGGCAGCACTACCCTTTAGCTCAGTGCGGATGTTGTCTGTAATCCATGGCTTCTGGTTGGGGTATGTACGTACGGTCACTGTGGGGACGACATCATCGATGCACTTATTGATGAAGCCTGTGACTGATGTGGTGTACTCCTCAATGCCATCAGAACAATCCCAGAACATATTCCAGTCTGTGCTAGCAAAACAGTCCTGTAGTTTAGCAACTGCTTCATCTGACCACTTTTTTATTGACAGAGTCACTAGTGCTTCCTGCTTTAGTTTTTGCTTGTAGGCAGGAATTAGGAGGATAGAATTATGGTCAGATTTGCCAAATGGAGGGCGAGGGAGAGCTTTGTACTCATCTCTGTGTGTGGAGTAAAGGTGGACTAGAGTTTTTTTTCCCCCTCTGGTTACACATGTGACATGCTGGTAGAAATGAGGTAAAACGGATTTAAGTTTCCCTGCATTAAAGTCCCCGGCCACTAGCTCATTGAGTGCAGTCTTAGTGCCAACATCGTTTTGTGGTGGTAAATAGACAGCTATGAAAAATATAGATGAAAACTCTCTTCGTAGATAGTGTGGTCTACAGCTTATCATGAGATACTCTACCTCAGGCGAGCAAAACCTTGAGACTTCCTTAGATATCGTGCACCAGCTGTTGTTTACAAATATACACAAACCGCCACCCCTTGTCTTACCAGAGGCTGCTGTTCTATCCTGCCGATACAGTGTATAACCTGCCAGTTGTATGTTATTCATGTCGTCATTCAGCCACGACTCGGTGAAACATAAGATATTACAGTTTTTAATGTCCCGTTGGTAGGATATACGTGCTTGTAGTTCGTCCACTTTGTTATCAAGCGATTGTACGTTGGCCAATAGTACAGATGGCAAAGGCAGATAGCCGCTCGTCGCCGGCTCCTTACCAGGCACCCCGATCTCCTTCCGCGATATCTCCGTCTCTTTCTACTGAATGACGGGGATGAGGGCCCTGTCGGGCGTCTGGAGCCTAATCCCTCTCGTCTGATTCATTAAAGAAAAATTATTAGTCCAGTTCAAGGTGAGTAATCGCTGTTCTGATGTCCAGACGCTCTTTTCGGGCATAAGAGATGGTAGCAGCAACATTATGTACAAAATAAGTTACAAACAATGCGAAAAAACAAACAAAAAAATAGCACGGTTGGTTAAGAGCCCATAAAACTGCAGCCAACCCCTCCGGCAGCTACTCTTCCTGGGGTTAGTAGTACTAATGTACAGACTACTGCTGAAGTCAGGTTAGTAGTACTAATGTACAGACTACTGCTGAAGTCAGGTTAGTAGTACTAATGTACAGACTACTGCTGAAGGCAGGTTAGTAGTACTAATGTACAGACTACTGCTGAAGTCAGGTTAGTATGATATCGGGCCAAATCTGACTAATGAAGTAGCCCAAACTCTTTGTAGACAGCAAACTGAGAAAGCAAATGATCCTTGTACCATCTGAGAAGTCCATTCCTCTACTGCAGCACTAGCAAATTGCCAATACTTTTTACCTTCTTTTGCAATCGGGGACATTTTGGTCGAATTGCCCCAAAATTCCCCAACCTAAGAACTCAAAACTTCCAAATGGCACCCTATTCCCCCCCGTAGGGCTCTGGTCAAAGTAATTCACTATGTAGGGCATAGGGTGCTATTTGGGAGGCAGTCCAGGAGTGGTTGGTTAGAACTGTTAGATCCTTCCTCTCACACTGCTCTCCCAGTCGCCACGGCAACCGAGGTCAGAGCTGGGAGCAGCACCCTGATTGGTAAAAAGATTACTGTGCTGCAGAGCACGTTCGAGGCTCACAAGCGTGCACACACATAAACACACACACGACAGAGGCTTACACACACACACACACACACACACACACTGTGAGGCTGGGTTCAGATTGACAGTGTAACTGCAGCTGGTTATTGAGTAATAGGTATCTTGTAGAGTGGTCTTCTACCACTCTGAGACGAACAGATAGACGGATCACACTGCTGCAGCAGAAAGGATCAGGAAGGGAGAGGAGAGGGGAGGGGGAGAGGAGGAGAGGGGAGGAGAGGAGAGAAGAGGGGGGAGGAGAGGAGAGGAGAGGATAGAAGAGGAAAGGGAAGGAGAGGAGAGGGGGAGGAGGGGAGGAGAGGAGAGGAGAGAAGAGGGGCAGAGGAGGAGAGGGGATGAGAGGAGAGGAGAGGATAGAAGAGGAGAGGGGAGGAGAGGAGAGATGAGGGGGGAGAGGAGAGAAGAGGAGAGGCTAGAAGAGGAGGAGGAGAGGGGGGAGAGGGGGAGAGGAGAGGGGAGGGAGATGAGGAGGATGTGGAGGGAGGCAGAGGAGAGGAGAGGAGAGGAGAGGAGAGGAGAGGAGAGGAGAGGAGAGGAGAGGAGAGGAGAGGATAGGAGAGGAGAGGGAGAGAGAAGGAGAAGGGAGGAGAGGAGAGGAGAGGAGGAGACCGTTTAAAAAATGCTTGCTATTTCCTCATAGAGGATGATGTGATCTGGCCAATCCGCGGTCTACTCACATTCATATTTTTCATACCATTCCAACACAGAAAAGCTGCTTTTAACATACTTAATAAATAAAAAATTGGAAGTAAAACTATGTTACTCACATTATGAAAATACCAAATTCAAGCTGCAAGAAACACAGTGTATTTCAGTTTTGTTGACTGTTCTGCGGTGGTCAATAAATGTCATGTAAATGTTGTGGTGTGTGTTCTCAGATGGTACTATATCGTGGTGGTGCCGGTGTCCCAGTCGTCGTCACGGCTATGGGAGAACCCTGACGAGATGGACCTGGAGGAGGTGAGTCGTTGTATTAGTAGCATCTATTGGTGCAGTAGCCCCAACATCAAGGTTGTCAATGGAAACCCCCCGTACAAGAACTTCATTTAAATAAACTCTAGAGCACTGTGTAGGGAATAGGGTACCGTTTGGGACGCAGCTTCTGAAGCAGTGGAAAAAGGACAACATCTACCTACTCCACTGACCTCTCCCTGAACTTCAACCTTTAACCTCTAACCTCGAAACCCTGTCCTCAGCTGTTGGAGTCTGACGAGGGTCCTGTCCTGCGTCGGCGGCGGCAGGTTGAACCCACCCGGCCATACATCGCTGCCAAGCTGGCCTCCCTGCCTGCTACGTTCACCCTGGGAGATGAGAAGAGCTACAACGGCTTCTTCAACCGCCCCCTGCCCAGTCACCAGCGGTATCTGGCCTTCGTTCTGGCTGCACTGAAAGAGCAAGAGCAGGATAACAGCGACAGACATGTGAGGAATGGAGACACACAGACAGACACACACACACACACCCAGATATAGACATGCTGTACCTAGAAAGACTCACATATTGTAGTATGGTAAAACAAAATTGACAGCTTAGAACGTTCTTCCATCACTCTGTAATGGCCTGTATCTTATGCAATGGCCATCCAGGCCTATATGTGTGGCGTTGCTACACTGACACTAGTAACTCTACTGTTGTACTCTGGGGGCTGTGGAGTCAAGTATTTGTCCAGTTGTCAAACAAAACTGAGCCCCAGGCTCTCTCTCTGTGGGACAGGCTGAGGAAAGTCCAGTGCAGGTTGAGTGAAAGTCAGATAGACCCAGACACCCGATAGTGCTGAGATGCAGGAGGACCCTGGGTATGCATATTAGGCAGCTAGCTAGCTAGCAGGGCCCAAGCTCTCCCTCTCTCTCTTTCTCTCTCTCTTTTTGTATCTATCTACTGTATCTATCTCTCTCTATGTGGGACAGGCTGAGTAAAGTCCAGTGCAGGTTGAGTGAAAGTCAGATAGACCCAGACACCGATAGTGCTAACTGAGTCCCGAGTGGCGCAGTGGTCTAAGGCACTGCATTGCAGTGCTAGCTGTGCCACTAGGGATCCTGGTTCGAATCCAGGGAGAAGAGCTACAACGACAACTCTTGTAGCTGGCAGCGACCGGGAGACCCATGGGGCGGAGCACAATTGGTCCAGGGTAGGGGAGGGAATGGCCGGCAGGGATGTAGCTCAGTTGGTAGAGCATGGCGTTTGCAACGCCAGGGTTGTGGGTTCGATTCCCACGGGGGGCCAGTATGAAAAAAATAATGTATGCACTCACTAACTGTAAGTCGCTCTGGATAAGAGCGTCTGCTAAATGACTAAAATGTAATGCTGGGATGCAGGAGGACCCTGGGTATGCATATTAGGCAGCTAGCTAGCAGGGCCCTATATATCTCTCTCTCTCTCTGGAGTCTGGGACAGACAGAGCTGTGGTAAAACAGGACTAATTGCTGTGAAGCGTGGTCTTAACTGTCCATAAAGCCCCACCATTAACCCTTCCTCTCAGCTTTCAGATGGAGGGAGAGAGAGAGAGAGAGTGAGTGTTGGAGGGGGAGGAAAGTGCTCGTGGGGTAGAAGAGGGTGGTGGGGCTTTAGGCATCGGGCGACACTGATGCACTGTACTTCAAAGACGACAGTTAAACCGATTGGCAATGGGAGAACCCTGACACGATCACAATCAATACCTCTGAAGGCTCCTATAACCAAAAAACCAACAATGAAATGCTCACTAGCATCGTATGTCTTGTTGGGTTGTTAAGAAGATCATTGGTGGGGTTTTTTTTCTCAATCCAGCTGAGACTGAGACAACAGCTAAAGAGTAAATGACTTGTGTCTTTACAACATTGCTTCAATCCTTCCTCCAGCCCAGATGTTTAATAATCGTCTCACCACAGCCTTAAACCACCACAAGCAGCACAGAGAGAGAGAGAGAGAGATAAGAGATGAAGATATGAGAGGTAAAGAGAGAGAGAGTGTTTTCATTCATGGACATTAGTATCCCTGAGGCTGATGGGAACTGGGATGAGAGATGCTGGGTGACTATAAACACTATCAACACTATCATTTATACGCAAGCACAGAGAGAGAGAGAGGGGGGGGGGGGGCATGAAATAAATAACATGATGGAGGGAGGAAGGACGGGAAGAGAAATGGAACAAAAGAGAGGAAATAGTCAGGAAGGGAGGGCTTGAGAGAGAGAAGGAAGGAGAGAGTGCAAACATACAGTACCAGTCAAAAGTTTGGACACACCTACTCATTCAAGGGTTTTTCTTAATTTTTTGCTATTTTCTACATTGTAGAATAATAGTGAAGACATCAAAACTATGAAATAACACATATGGAATCATGTAGTAACCAAAAAAGTATTAAAGAAATCAAAATATATTTTACATTTTAGATTCTTCAAAGTAGCCACCCTTTGCCTTGATGACAGCTTTGCACACTCTTGGCATTCTCTCAACCAGCTTCATGAGGTAGTCACCTGGAATGCTTTTCCAACAGTCTTGAAGGAGTTCCCACATATGCTGAGCACTTGTTGGCTGCTTTTCCTTCACTCTGCGGTCCAACTCATACCAAACCATCTCAATTGGGTTGAAGTCGGGTGATTGTGGAGGCCAGGTCATCTGATGCAGCACTCCATCACTCTCCTTAATAATAATAATAATAATAATAATATGCCATTTAGCAGACGCTTTTATCCAAAGCGACTTACAGTCATGCGTGCATACATTTTTGTGTATGGGTGGTCCCGGGGATCGAACCCACTACCTTGGCGTTACAAGCGCCGTGCTCTACCAGTTGAGCTACAGAGGACAAATAGCCCTTACACATCCTGGAGGTGTGTTTTGGGTCATTGTCCTGTTGAATAACAAATTATAGTTCCTCTAAGCGCAAACCAGATGGGATGGCGTATCGCTGCAGAATGCTGTGGTAGCCATGCTGGTTAAGTGTGCGAATTAAGAAATCAGAGTGTCACCACATCCAGTTGGACCCAAATGGACCATTACCATTCTGCGTCT